TCTGGATGAATGAGAAAGAATAGGGGAATGAAGCTGGAGATAACATGGAGATTCAAGGCCAAATTATTAGTGAAACTGAGTGTAACATCAAATGGAAGTTTAAGTTTGGTCGTGCTATTAGAAAGGAAGGACGAACCAAGATATGAGTTGGTTGATGATGATTGAATGTTTGATGTAAAGTGTTTATAATAATAATAATAATAATAATAATAATAATAATAATAATTTATTTAGGAAGAGTACATACATAGTTGCAGCGTTACAGTACAAACATTCTGTTAGATTTAAAGATAGAGGTAGTGCATACAATACCTGAAGCCACTAGTACGCATAGTGTTTCGGTTTCTGCTATGTCCAGTTCGTTTGTTATTATATCAATCCATGATTTCTGTGTCATCGTCTTGTTCATTTTCATCGTTAATCATCTTCCGGTTTACTAACGACAAATATTATTTCTTAACGTTTTTGTATAATAGTTTGTTAACAATCGAAGGTCTTATTCTTATTTTCGAATATTAAGTTGTACTCAATTTAAAATATGAGATTTAATAACTAATTTGGTCTTGAACTTTATAATATGTGTGCATATATTTTCTGTTCTTCATAATGCAGCGATCTATCGTTGTATTGCGAGTCACGTTTACCCTCATATTTGTTGTTATACGTTAACTTTCTTTAATGAAGATACCCAGAACAGGCATAAATAGCCAGGCTACCACAGGTTCGGACGCAGTGATCTTGGTGACTACGACAACAGCGACGACGAGACTCTCAACTACCTCGAGAAACGGAGCCCAAACTTCCTGAGGTTCGGAAGACCTGACGTAGAGGATATATTTGTCGCAGGAGGACCCATGGAGTTCTTAGATGGTCTCCAGGGTGAGGCAATCAAGGAGGACCTTCCTTTCGAGAAGCACGCTGAATATAGGTGAGAAACGGGGCCCACGGAGCTCAACGTGAGATACAACGATTCTAAGTAAAGTTGTTATAAGTAAATATAGATACATCTTCTGAATTGAGTTGACAGGCATCAGTAAGGTGTACACCTTGTTGTGAATACTCAGAATAGGTATAGGAATAATTCCAGAGCAGAGCGAAATATGTTCAAAAACACTACAAACGCTAGAGATATGGAAACAAGATCCAATATGTCCCAATAGTTTCAATATACAGTGGATACAGATGTAACATGTTTTCCATCGAAACCTGTTCACTACAGCAGTTTCTCAGTCATCTAACCTGCTGGAATTGGTAGTAATTATTTCATTGTTTGCATAGTTTTGTCCACCTGCTTAATTTTATGTTTCCCTGACAGACACGGACACGGTCGTAGTGGCCGCAACTTCTTGCGGTTTGGCCGCTCCGTGAACCGTCAGCTCAACGCCCTGCCCTGTCATGGCTGTGATGGAGGCAAAACCCCAGGAATGAACCCCGTCCCCTCACCCACCACTGCCCAGCGCATGACAAACACCAAGAAAGGCATCACCGCCCACAACATCGAGTCGTCAGAACTCGGGAAGAGCATCTCACAGCGCACGAAGAGAGCCGCTGCTCCAACCTTTTATGACTACGGGTCAATTTCATCCTACAGCCCCTCCTCCTGGGCCAGAGGATTCCAGCCTCAACAAGAGATTATCACCGTGTCCTCAGAGGATCCACAGGACGTAAACAAACGCGCATATGATCGTAACTTCCTCAGATTTGGCAAGAGACTCAACGAGTACCCGCCCTCCTCGTCCTCCGAGTCCAGTGGGTCCCGGGTGGTGGTGGTGAAGACAGGCGAAAGGGCGCCCAAGAGAAACTTCCTCAGGTTCGGCTGAACTGGAAGATGAACGCAACTTCCGCTCTTAAATCTTAAGACCTTCCTTCATGCTCCTAGTGTGTCTATCAGCCCCCTCATTATACGCGAGTATAACCCAAGTATAGTCCGTCTCTTCACTTACAGTGTAGTCGCCTACAGAAAACGGAGAAGAGAATTGTGAAAAACTCAATGACGATGTAGCATGATGAATATATTTATACAGTTACTTAAATTATAATTTTAAATTATATCCTCTTTTACTTAGGATATAATCTTGGTCAACTTTACCCTTAATAATTGACTGAAGTTATGCAGAAGTAAATTTGTTAGTTTGTCTTTTCTAATTAATCTTTATCGTAGACAAGTTGTATTGATAATTTAACATTTTCTAATGTTCATACTAAAGAATATTTAATTTATATATTTATCTAACGTTGAAGATTTTACGTTTTATATAAAGGCTGAAAACTTGTAGTGTTGTTAATTAGTTAACTTTTATTCAGACTTTGTTATTATTTGATTTATTAATAATATTGATGCTGTGATATCTTGGAGACCAGTGATGATAGTCAATAAATGACCTGAAGTTATTGTTTGATCACTTTTAATTGCTTGGCATTTAACACTAATATCCCACCAATCCAGACACGTTTATAACAGGAAGGTAGATGCTAATGAGTATGTAATTAAAAGATGAGCATCGTAGGGCACTATATTACACCTATAGTCTACAATAGGAGCCAACCACCCTCTGGTCAGTGGTTAAGGTACCAGGTACGCCAAGGTGCATAGTGCTCCTGGCTGTCTGGGTTCGAATACTTCTGGGGTGTGGAGTTTTCAGTTGCATATGGCTTAGGGACCATTCAATCTTGTTCGCAAGATTGATATATATATATATATATATAGGCCTTGCATAGTATGAGAATACTAGGTACGACATATATATATATATATATATATATATATATATATATATATATATATATATATATATATATATATATATATATATATATAAATATATATATATATATATATGTGTATGTTGTTAAATATGACCGAAAAAGTAAGATTAATCATTCTAACACGAATTTTCTCGATACTTCTAATGTTTCTTTTTACTGTTGATGGTAATTGAAAAATCAATTCTCTAAAATTAATTTTTATTTATAGTCTGTCGCGACGCTTGAACGCATTTCGTAATAACTTATTACATTTTCAAAGACTTTAGTTTACACACACAACTGTAACCTGAAAACACTAAACAGAGTTTTACTTATGCTAACACTAAACAGCTTGTCTTATATACTCGCATTTGGGTGAGGTGATATGTTGCAACAGTTTTGGATGAGGTGAACAAACTTTTGACCAACACAAGACAGAACACGGAACAATGGGTATTAATTGGATAAAAGAGAGGGAAGAATGGAAGTAACTGCACAGGGCCTATTGGCCCATACTTCCTCTTGATGCTTCTATATTGGTACAGAGTCTTGAAGTGGGTAGAATATAATTGTGCATTAATTGGCTGTTGATTGCTGGTGTTGACTTTTTGATGTGTGGTGCCTCGCAGATGTCGAGCCGCCTGTTATCACTGTATCTATCGATGATTTTTGTGTTGTTTGTTAAGACTTCTCTGGTGATGGTCTGGTTGTGGGAAGAGATTATATGTTCCTTAATGGAGCCCTGTTGTTTATGCATTGTTAATCGCCTGGAAAGAGATGTTGTCTTGCCTATATACTGAGTTCTTAGGGGCTTACAGTCCCCAAGTGGGCATTTGAAGGCATAGACGACATTGGTCTCTTTTAAAGCGTTCTCCTTTGTGTCTGGAGAGTTTTTCATGAGAAGGCTGGCCGTTTTTTTGGTTTTATAATGAATCGTCAATTGTATCTTCTGATTTTTGTCTGTATGGAAAAGGTCCTTATTAATAATATCTTTGAGGACCCTTTCCTCCGTTTTATGAGCTGTGGAAAAGAAGTTCCTGTAAAATAGTCTAATAGGGGGTACAGGTGTTGTGTTAGTTGACTCTTCAGAGGTTGCATGGCGTTTCACCTTTCTTTTTATGATGTCTTCAACGAAACCATTGGAGAAGCCGTTGTTGACTAGGACCTGCCTTACCCTACAGAGTTTTCATCGACTTGCTTCCATCCTGAGCTGTGGCTGAGAGCTCAGGATGGACACTGCTGGACACTGGGCAGAGGCAAGGCTCCTCTTAATGATGTCATTGACTTCGTCGTGTCGTGAGTGCCAACCGCCTGATTTTCCATATTGCAGACCATGCAATCCCTATTTGTCTACATCTGCCTCATATATATATATATATATATATATATATATATATATATATATATATATATATATATATATATATATATATATATATATATATATATGTATGTATGCGAACAATCCTGAATGGTCCCCAGGACTATATGCAACTGAAAACTCACACCCCAGTAGTGACTCGAACCCATACTGCCAGGAGCAACGCAACTGGTATGTACAGAACGCCTTAATCCGCTTGGGGTGTGATGATATATATAAGTGTAAATATTTAATATATATATATATAGCCTTGATATATATAAAAATAAATATGGGGTAATATCAATGATGAAAGTAAATATTCAAATTATTAAATACTGTTAAATACGGACTCTGGATGCACAGAGGAACCAGAGCTTCAGAAACGTCAGTTCTGGGAGAATGAAGCCGTTGTTAATATTGGCAACTTGTCCTAAATGTTAATGGAAGCTTAGTGCCAGACTAGGCCTAAATCTTCGTGGAGGCCTGGTGCCATACTAGGGGTTAAATCTAGGTGGAGGAATGGTGATAAACTTGGCTCAAACCTGAGTGAGAACCTACTACAGGGCTTGGCCTGGGCCTTCTCGTCTGACCAGAGAGTGATTGGTTCCCATTGTAGACAATGAGTGTGATATAGTGCCCTACTATGCTCACCTTCTAATTACATACATACTCACTTGCATCTACACTTCCTGTTATAAACGTGTCTGGATTTGTGGGATATTAGTGTTAAAGGCCAAGCAATTAAAAGTATACAATAACTTCAGGTCATTTATTGACTCTCATAACTGGTCTCCAAGATATCACAGCATCAGTATTTATTAATATACATCAAATAAAAACAAATTCTTAATAAAACTTTTAGACTTTTAAAACACATAAATAAAAACGCTTTGAAACATATAATAAAAAAACTCTGCAGGTTTTCATGATTTGAATAAATCGTTAGATCTACATTTTATTAAATATATAAACTAAATGTTCTTTAGTTAAATTATTTACACGACTTGTCTACGACACAATTAGGAAAACACACAAAAAAATGACTTCTGCGAAACTTAAAAAAAAAAATTTAATTGTAAAGTTGATCCAGATTATAACCTATGAACAAGAGTGCATTTACAAATATACTTTAAATAATTGTATAAATAAATTCGCAATGCTTCATCATCGCTGTTTTTCACTATTCTCTTCTCCGTTTTCTGTAAGCGACAACATTGTGAATGAAGACTATTGAGCAGAATTATCCGTCATGTTAAATAATATGGTTGCTGACACAGGCGGGTTATACTTGTATATAATGTGGGGTTCATTGGGTTGATAAGGTCATTATGGGGACGAAGGAAGGTCAGAACCCTAAGGGGAGGAAATTAGACTCGTCTTCCAGTTCAGCCAAACCTGAGGAAATTTCTCTGGGGCGCTCTCACGTTGCGGGAGTACTCAGCTGGACTCACCGCCACCAGGGACTCGCTGGACTCGGAGGGCGAGGATGGCGGGTATTCGTTGGATCTGTCCCGCTTGCCAAATCTGAGGAAGTTACGATCTCGGCCGAAGCGCAGGAAGTTACGATCACGGCCGAAGCGCAGGAAGTTACGATCAAGTGCGCGTTTGTTTACGTCCAGTGGATCCTCTGAGGACACGGTGATTATCTCTTCTTGAGGCTGGAATCCTCTGGCCCAAGCGATGGGGCTGTAGGATGACATTGACCCGTAGTCATTAGCGGTTGGACCAGCGGCTCTCTTCATGCGCTGAGAAGTGCTGTCATCGGGTTCTGGGGACTCGATGGTGTGGGCGATGTCTTGCTTGGCGGGGACCATGGACTGGACAGGGATGGGTGTGGTGGGTTTGATTCCTGGGGGTTTGTGACCTCCACAGCCATTACAGGACAGGGCGTTGAGCTGACGATCGACTGAGCGGCCAAACCGTAAGAAGTTGCGACCACCACGACCGTGTCTGTCAGAGAAAGACACAGTAAGTGCATAATACTGAAGCATGTAGACGATACTCTGTGAATCAAAGACAAATGTCTGATTACTCTAGCAGGATAGATGACTCAGGAACTGCAGCAGTGTAATCTGCACGAGTCTCAAGACAAAACACGTTACATCGAGATCCACTATATATTGAAGCCATTGATATATATCTATTGGATCTGGTTCCTGTATGTGAAGTTTTGTAGTGTTTTAACCCCGCTACACACTAACCTCAAACTAACGACGTATTTTCAACAAAATCTGTATTTGCACCTGTTACATGTCCTCAACAAAACTTCTCTGTTCGGAGTCGTTTGGAAATGGTTTCTCATTTCTCACCTGTATGCCGTCTGCTTCCCGATGGGATGGTCCTGCTTGACTGCGTCACCCTCGAGGCTAGCTAAGAACTCCATGGGTCCTCCTGCGACAAACATGTCCTCCATGTCAGGTCTTCCGAACCTCAGAAAGTTCCGGCTTCGTTTCTCAAGGGAGTCGTTGAGAGTCTCGTCGTCGCTGTTGTCGTAGTCACCAAGATCACTGCGTCCGAACCTGTGGTAGCGAGGCTATTTATGCATGTTCCTGGGAATCTTCACTCAAGAAAGTCAATATATGAAAACAATACAGACAATAACACATGAGAAGCAAAGCAACGTCTAAATCACTGAATTAAATTAAACAATATATATATACACTAATTATTACATTCTTCGCTAAACTAGTTATAAAATCTCATGTTCCAAATTAGGCATCACTAAATATTCGAAAAGTTACAGAAAAACTTTCAGTGTTTCATGAATCTTAAGAAATAAGAAGTTTTTCAACAATACGGACCTGAGGAAATTACGATTTCTTTTCTCCACGTCGCTGCGTCCAAACCTGGAGAGGAAATGGGAAGGTGATTTATGAAGGTGAAGAACACGAAGACACCAAAATCATCGCCATATATAACATCAATAAGAACTAGACAAATCAGAATCACTTTAGATCAAACCCACTCAGTATCATCAACCAGCACTTGGCCATTCTTCAACACCATGAAATGCAAACTTCCATTTATTGCTACACTCACTACCACCCATAACTTGGGCTTCAATCTCCATGTTATCTCATACCTCAACCGCCCATTCTCTCTCATAAGTCATCCAGAAACAATCCCTAATTTCAGCTTCCTATTCTCACACAATGCTCTAGTTTTGTGCGTTGCTCTAGCCACCGGCTCCCTTCGTCACCTCAGTAGAGTTAGATCCACGGGTCGTCGCCACCCTCCAGTCAGCAACAGCAACATGCTCACCTCAGGAAGTTCCTATCGCTGTAGGCTCTCTTGGAGCCCTCCTGACTGATGGGGTACAAGTCTCCGCCATCGTCCATCCATGCCTGGCTTCCTGGGAGGAAATATTTGAGTAATCTCTTCTCAGGCTGAGCTACGAAGTCGTCTTCGCTGTTGTTGGAGCCGAAGCCCTGAGAGGGAGAGCTGAGGGCGGCTGCGACGGGCGGGACTGGGGCAGCATGGGCGGCGTGGGCGTAGGAACACCAGGTAAAGGTTGCCAGTAACACCCAGGCTGCTAGAGGCATCACGCAAGACCTGGGGATGAGAGAAGTACACTGATTACTGTGTGTGTGTGTGTGTGTGTGTGTGTGTGTGTGTGTGTGTGTGTGTGTGTGTGTGTGTGTGTGTGTGTGTGGCTTGTGTTAGTAAAGCTTCATAAGGTAATAAAACAGAGAAAGTGGAGAGGGGTGTCAGGGGGCGCTGTACCATAAGAGGGAGGCAGCTACAGGCATCAGAGACACAAGAGGATTAACTGTGGCAAGAACACCAGTTTCATTGACGGAGGGATCTACGCAGGACACTGTACTCAACCTACGTTATAATAGCTCTAGAATATGCAGCACTGACATGGGATAATCTATGTTGCGAATTAGAAAGTCGAGAGAATCCAGAGATTCACTACCAAACTATTGCCAGATAAAACATATTGTCATGAAGACTAGTTAAAATAACTCAACAAAACGACACATCAAGAGAAGAACGATGACCAAGATACAGTTGGAAAAAGACGCGGTGAATATTCAGAGTCTATTCCAAATGAGCGGAAATATAACGAGATGCCAGACAGTAAATGGTGAGAGGAACGAACTGCAGGCAAAGGTCTTGGAAAAAGTCTTCCAGTCCATTCCTTTCCCCTCGTCCCATCCCTAAACCTTATCCTGACCTCTTCCAAGTGCTATATTGTCGTAATGGCTTGGGTCTTTCCCCTGATAATTCCCTCCCTCCTGGTTTTATGACCAATTACAACAGAGTATAAGAAAGTTTACAGGAATAAAGGCACCAAGCATATCAGCAGCTGCGAGTGTAGACCCAGATGCTAGTTCTCACTATCCTTAGGCATAGAGAGTAAGCCCCAGATGGTATCAACACATATACGTAATTGATAGTAAATTGCTGTAAAGCGATGTTCCCATTACATTAGAATCACCTAGTACCTCACAGGTGTCCTAGACCCAAGAGTTCAACCACCTTACATAACCCGTCTTCTTACAAATTACCTAGAAAGTTCTCCTAAGGTTTCAAAACGTCATGAAAACCGTTAATATGAAGTTTCATCTCTCCTAACCTAACCTAACCTAACCTAACCTAACCTAACAGTCTAAGCTAGAGGACCCAAAACAGAAAATAGGACAGTACATCACTCTAGGGAGCCGATTTAATTTTGAATTACGTCGATTTTTAGCCTGCGAGCGCATACGAGCGAAAAGTAATTTAATTTGTAAGAGGACGGGTTGCCTTACAGGTGTCCAGCACCTTGAAGGTTCCTAGTACACAGAAGTTACCTGTGACTCCAGGGGCCCAGATTCACGAAGCTGTTACGCAAGCACATACGAACCTGTCCATATTTTCTCAATCTTTGGCAGCTTTGTTTACAATTATTAAACAGTTAATGAGCTCCGAAGCACCAGGAGGCTGTTTATAACAATAACAGCAGTTGATCGGGAAGTTTTCATGCTTGTAAACTGTTTAATAAATGTAACCAAAGCCGTCAAAGATTGAGGAAAGATGTACAGGTTCGTAAGTGCTTGCGTAACTGCTTCGTGAATCTGGCCCCTGTGTGCTAGGTGGTTCCTAGCAGTCTGGAGGAGGCAGGAGCGACTTACCTTGTCATGGTAGTGTGTGAGAGTGCGATGGTGTGGCTGGGTGAGAGCCCTATATCAACCTCCGACAACCCCACCCACCCACACTCCCACACTCCCATCACCACCCCTGCCCTCTTGCCCCGCCCACTATTGACCACGCCCCCTTTTTCCCCTACATGGCCATTGGCCGCCCACCGACCATGTCTCCTCTCTCCCCTACCGGGGTGAAGTGTCATTGTTCATCTCTGATATTGGATACGTTTGGCACCTTATTGGCCTGATACCGGCTCTTATTTCTCTCTTATTTGTAAATATGAATAGTCTTTCTGTTCTCTCTCTCTCTCTCTCTCTCTCTCTCTCTCTCTCTCTCTCTCTCTCTCTCTCTCTCTCTCTCTCTCTCTCTCTCTCTCTCTCTCTCTCTCTCTCTCTCCATCTTGTTGAATAAATGTTACAAAAAACTTATACCTAGTGCTTACATTAGGCTATTTAGGTACTCGTTCTGGATTAGTAAGGTTTGTCTTGGAGGTATAATGGTCGCCAGAAGGTCAGTTTCTTCCTTACAGCTGGTGACAACATTACCATCTTCCCGGTTCAATGATGGGCTTGTGTTTTCAGGTGAACTTCACTGACGATCTTTAACCAGAGACGATCAGACACGCGGTCGAAGTCTTTCTGATGCAATTATTTTTTATTTGTTCTGATTCCCTTTTGGAGATATTTAAATTAATGCTTTTAACATAATTCACATTTATAGATATCATTTTG